CTCTCTCCCTCACTATCACACTAAATGCGCTATCGCCACACACACACAGAGCCGAGCTTGAATGACACAAGCACACGTGTATTTCCATGCAACTCTCTGATTGGTCTGGTGTGTTGCCTCTGTTGCGTTCACTGAACACGGGAAATTACAGTCCTGCCGTTGTCTCTTGTGTCATGATGAGGTTCACGTAAAGCACGGTTAATGTATTATATTGAGGTGTCTCAAATATACGTCAATCAAGTGGCATCTGCTAACGGGGTGGTGGATGATAGGTTTACATCTAAAAACGTATTTTTCAAACATTATTATTTTAATTTTATTTTGTTACTTTTTTTTTTACGGTCTGCGATCTACCCGCACCACACTCGCGATCGACCGGTCGATCGCGATCGACTGGTTGGCGACCATTGCTCTAGAGGAGATCTGCATGCAGGAATGGGCCAAAATACCAGCAACAGTGTGTGAAAACCTTGTGAAGACTTACAGAAAACGTTTGACCTCTGTCATTGCCAACAAAGGGTATATAACAAAGTATTGAGATTAACTTTTGTTATTGACCAAATACTTATTTTCCACCATAATTTGCAAATAAAGTCTTTAAAAATCAGACAATGTGATTTTCTGGATTTTTTTTTCTCGCATGTTGTGTCTCATAGTTGAGGTATACCTAGGATGAAAATTACAGGCCTCTCTGATATTTTTAAGTGGGAGAACTTGCACAATTGGTAGCTGACTAAATACTTTTTTGCCCCACTGTACATATTTTTATATATATTTGTATTTTGTATTCCTCGGGATTGTGGGAAACGGTATTTCGATCTCTGTCTGTACACACAAACTGAAAGATTGACAATAAAGTTGACTTTTTTCGCCTTCTAGTCAGAGAGAAATGTTTTTATATTTGCTGTTGTAAATTATTGTCTTCTGTTTGCTATTGTAGTAACGTGCTTTTTATTACATGTACAGCACTTTGGCTGTCGTTTTTAAATGTGCTATATAAATAAAACCTGATTTGATTTGCGACCACCGATGACTACTAGAGATTATTACTTAAACCTTCAGATCTACCATTTATCTGAAGTTGTTATTCAGCGGTGAGAGCCTCATACCTTCTGCTTCAGCCGGCTCTTCACCTCCTTTATACGCATTTTGGCGTGGTCCTTCGCCTGTGGAACAAACACAGACAAACAGGTGATGGTCGTTCTGATTCCTCACTAACAGGTCATACTGTAACCGAGGACAGAAGAGACGTGCTTACAAACTTATAAACGGTCTTCATGGCAGGGTTGGCCCTCGTCTTCACTGTGTTGAAGATAGCCCCGCCTCCTTTCTGTCAGGAAACACACACACACACAAGTTAGTCACAAAAAAAATGTTGTAACACACTTAGACACAAATCTGTGACACACACATTTTCAAACCATACATGCATAAGTTAGACAAACACACATTTGTCTACACACTTACAAACACACATGTATACATTTGTGACACACACATTTTTGTAACCCACACATCTGCTAGTGGCACATATTTTCAACACACATAAATAAATGACACACACACACATTTTGGTTACACACACACGCGCGCACACACACACACACACACACACACACACACACACACACACACACACACACACACACCTGTATTATTAGATAGAAGACACACACAGTGTTATATGCTGTGGGTGGTGCATTGAGACCGGCTCACCTTCACCCACACACACATTTTTGTAAAACACTTGCACACACTTGGTAAGTGACACTCATATCTATTAGTGACACACATACACACAAGCACCAGTCAGAAACACACACATATTTGCAACACACCCACACCTCTGTATGATTAGACACATCCATTAAGATAGAACACACACACACACACACACACACACACACACACACACACACACACACACACACACACACACACACACACACACACACACACACACACACACACACACACACACACACAGTGGTGCATTGAGACTCACCTTCACAGTGAACAGCCACTGGTGGTAGGTCTTGTCACTTCCTGTGGAGGGGGGGTCAATAAAAAGTCAAAAACAAGTAGTACTGCCGTCTGCAATGTAATGTAACACCAACCAAATAATATATATAAAAATATAATAATACATTTTATTTATCAAGCGCTCAAAGACACTTTCCAGAGGTACAACAATGGCAATAAAACCACATTTATCACAAGGACACGGCATCAATCACACATTAAAAAGCTAGTCTAAAAAGGAGAGTTTTGGTCAGTGCAGTCTCTGATTCGTTGTGGTAGTGAGTTCTAGATGATGGGGACACGATGGAGAAGGCTTGGTTCGTATCTGATAATATCTGAGCAGATCTATAACAAAACGTACTCTACTGCAGTATGACAAACATCACGCTCTGATTACACGGCTGCTGGGATCAGCTGATGTGTCAGTGTGTGTGTCTGAAGTTATAACAATATGATATCAAATTAAAAGCTGAGTGGACGTCCAAAAGTGGGAAAATGTATATATCTCTAGTGCCGGGTGAGCTCCAATAGAAACACGAGGACACAGTTAGCCTGCTGAGCTAGCATCAGTTTGATGATCTGTGCTGATCTGGAGTCAGCCTTGTGACATGAGGATGAACAGGGTATATGCAGGAATCCTGAAGTCAGATGTAAGAACTTTTAAGACCTTTTTGAAGACCCTTTCCATACATTTTAAGACCTCATCGCCACTTGGAGTTCTAACCGGTTACCTTGGCAACACACTTTACCTCACATTGACTATATACAGTATTGATTGTAAGATAGCACAACTAAACAGTTTGTGACAACTCAGATAGAACAAAGCACAAGAGAATGAATTCTGTGACCAACCCAATGCAAGGTTTATTAGAAAAAGAAACCATTAGAAAGTAGTATTTGATTCAAGCAATGTTCCCAAGAGATAAAACAGACAGACTACTGAAGCCTCCTCTCCACATGGAAAATGCCGTTTAATAGTTTTTAATAGCCTTAATTTTCGCTAAATTGATTGATCAACTTTTAATAATTTTTAAGACCCCACGGACACCCTGATGAACATTAGGACAGACTTTGGACCTGTAGTTACTGTCGCCATGTCTCTTCACTGTGTGACTTATTCGCTTCCATGTCAATGAACCTGCTAGATAACACACACACACACACACACACACACACACACACACACACACACACA